GATGCCCTTGTTTCTAGAAGGACTTGGGATCTTGTATCTAATCCTACGGGCGCTACTGTCGTTGGCTGTCGGTGGGTTTATACCTTGAAGTATCGAACAGATGGTTCGATTGATCGTTATATAGCTCGTCTTGTTGCGAAGGGATATACTCAAACCTATGGGGTCGACTATCTTGAGACATTCTCTCCCGTAGCCCGTCTCAATTCCATTCGCCTACTTTTTTCTATGGCCGTTAATCTGAACTGGACAATATTTCAGCTGGATGTTAAAATTGCCTTTTTGTATGGTGACTTGCAGGAGAAAGTCTATATGGAGCAACCTCCAGGGCATGTTGCTCAGGGGGAGAATACTGTCTGCAAGCTTAAAAAAGCGATTATGGTCTCAAACAGAGTCCACGGGCATGGTTTGAGAAATTTAGTACTGCTATATCTGGTGTCGGTTTCAAACGATGTCAATCTGATCACTCCGTCTTTATCTGACACACTACAACTGGTCTGGTGATTCTGACAGTATATGTTGATGACATCCTGCTAACTGGGAGTGACCTTGCTGCCTTAGCTAAGACTAAAGAGTACCTTTCACGTCACTTTGTGATCAAAGATATGGGAAAACCCAAATACTTTCTTAGAATTGAGATTGCATATCAAAAGGACTGTTTGCTTCTATCTCAAAGGAAATATGAATTGGACTTATTAGAAGAAATGAGTTTTTTAGGGTGTAAGCTAGCAAACACTCCCATGGAGATGAATGTGGATTTGTGGCGTGATAATAGTCCTATCCTAGATAATGCAGGCCGATATAGGAGATTAATTGGTAAGTTGATCTATCTTACTGTGACTAGACCTAATATTACATTTGTAGTGGGAGTATTGAGCAGGTTTATGCATAAACCTAGAGAGGTTCATTGGACTGCTGCTCTGAGGATTTTAGCTTATGTCAAAAGCTGTCCTGAAAAAGGATTATTGTATAAGAAGCATGGACATTTACACATCTTTACCTTTTCTGATGCTGGGTATGCGGGAGACATAGGAGATAGGAAGTCTACTTCTGGATTTTTCACATTTATTGGAGGAAATCTTGTTACTTGGAGGAGCAAGAAACAAGATGTTATTTCTCGATCTAGTGCAGAGGCAGAATACAGGGCTATGACTCACACTACATGTGAGATGATATGGTTGCAGAAGTTGTTGACAGAGCTTGGTTTTACTCAGCCTGGTCCTATACCTATGCATTGTGATAACCAGTCCGCTATCTATATTGCAAAGAATCCAGTATTTCATAAGAGAACTAAGCACATTGAAGTTGATTGTAATTTTGTTAGAGATGCTTGGGAAAAGAAAGTGATCTCCCTTCAGTTCACTCCATCTTCAGAACAGTTAGCTGACATTCTCACTAAAGCTACATCTCCTAAGGTGTTTTCTATTTTATGTAACAAGCTGGACGTAGTTGATATATATGCTCCAGCTTGAGGGGGAGTGTTAGAATTAGTATTTGGGTTATCGGGTCAGGGCCCATTAATCCATTAGCCTATTTCCCATATGTAACCCTATATAAATTCATGTTGATGAATGGAACAAGTGGAACTCTGATTTTCTCACTTCAACATATTTGTTTAATCCCTTCTTAGATAAGCATAATCTAGAGCAGCCAAGTATATCATTTTATATTTTCAGTCATTTTTGGCAAGCCTATATTTCCCTAAAGCAAGTATTAACATAAAAAGGAACTCACTACCTTGGTAAGAGGAAATGAAGACAGAGAACAAAATTTTAACCCTTTACATTATCATATAGAGTTTCATTACAAACAAATGAACTATAAGATTCAGCCTAAATTACAAACAATCAGTAATATACATTTACAAACATGCAAGTAGTCTAAAATTAATTTACATGCAAAGATAGGAACATAAACAAAGATGAACAAACAAAGACAGACTAATGACTGTACCATTTACAAGCTTGGTTAAAAGTACAGATCTCACACATTTGCAAAATTAACCTCAGATTTCCAAACCAAAAAATAAAAATAAAAAATAAAATTTGACAGATCATAAAATGAATGCCACATTTAAAATGAAATCTATGATCCAGTTATCTTAAGCTATAGACTTGCCTGCCTCAACTCATTTATAAGTTTCCAGTTTTAGTACGATACAACAGTAACGCAAGCCTGTTGGGCAGACTTCTGAGAAATACTCATTATCTTCTCTGGCAAGGCATAGTCAGGATAAATTTGTGGGTGTTTCCATAAGCTCTCAACCTATATATAAAATCAAGACTCATTATGCAGAAGCCTGGGCTTAGAGGTTTGGGAAATTCTTTTGATTATCTTAAAGATATGGATGATAATCCCTCTACAGTGGACAGGGGGGTTTTGCAAGTTTATGAATCTTTCTTTTTGGAATATTAGAGGACTAAATAAGTCTTCTAAGCAGCATCTTGTCAAGCTTCATATGCAACAGAATTCTATTTCTTTTATGGCTCTCTTTGAAATAAAAATCAAGACTAGTAAGCTCCCTATTGTAACTAGGAAAATTGCTAACACATGGAAGTGGTATTCAAATGATCTTAACTCTAGCAAAGCTAGAATTCTTCTTCTTTGGGATCCTAATAGTCTGGAAGTTCAAATTGACAGTCAATCATCTCAACATATCACTTGTATGGTTAGATCTTTTGATGGCAGGATTGATTATCTTATAACTTCAATTTATGGTCATAATCATCTGGAAAATAGAAGAGACCTTTGGCAGGAGCTAAAACAAGTCAGGTTATCTGCTGGAAATAAGCCTTGGATTCTTTATGGTGACTTTAATACTATTACTGGTAGTGATGATAAACTGGGTGGTGCAGTGGTAATTGAGGCTGAAACTATGGATTTCAGGGATTTCATTGATGATTGCCAACTATCTCACATGAAAACAGAAGGCTGTCATTTTACTTGGAATAACAGGTAAGAAGCAAACTCAAGAGTTTGGAGTAGGTTGGACAGAGCCTTGGTAAATGATGCTTGGTTAAATCTTTATAATTCCAGTCATGTGGAATTTTTACAACCTAATTGTTTAGATCATTCTCCAGCTTTGGTTTCAGTTTATGATGATTGTGTTCAAGGTAAAAAGCCTTTGAAATTTTTCAAGATGTGGATTAAGCATGAAGATTACATTCCCACTGTCTCTTCTATCTGGAAAACATCTATTACTGGCTGTAAGATGTTCTCTGTTGCTAGCAAACTGAAACTTCTGAAGGTTGCTCTGAAAGACCTCAACAGGAAAAATTTTCATAATATAAGTGAACAAGTAAATAGGGCAAAGATAAATTTGTACAAAACTCAAAGCAATCTACAAGATGATCCTCTCAATTTAGTTTGCACAGGAGAAAGAATGCATAGTCACTTATAACAGATTGTTGGAGTGTGAATTGTCTTTCTATCATCAAAAATCAAGGATACAATGGATAGTACAAGGTGACAGAAGTACAAGTTACTTTCATTCTTCAATCAAAGCTAAGAGGCATCTCAATAGAGTAAATCTACTGTATAATGGTGCTGGTGACAAGATTACTGATGGTGAGGGAATCATTCAAGAAATTATCTCTTTTTATAAGAGTCTTATGGGATCAAAAACTGTTACCTCAAAGCCTGACTATAATGTCATTAGCAAAGTGGTCTGTTTAAATGAAGCTCAAGCAATTGCACTCTCCTCTGCTGTGACTAGGGATGAAATCAAAAAAGCTGTTTTTTCCATGGATGATAATAAAGCTCCAGGTCCTGATGGATTTAATATGTCCTTTTACAAGTCTGCATGGAGTATTATAGGTGATGAAGTTTCACAGGCAATTCTGGATTTTTTCAGAACTGGGAAGCTCCTTGGTATGATAAACTCAACTTCCTTATCTTTAATTCCTAAAGTGAAATGTCCAAAGACCCCTTCTGATTTCAGACCTATTGCTTGTTGTAACTGCCTATATAAGATCATTTCAAAAATTCTAGCTAACAGAATTAAGATAGTGATGGGTTTTTTGATAAATGAGGCCCAAAGCGCCTTTGTTAAAGGAAGGCAAATATCAAGTTATATCTTGATGGCTCATGAGATTGTGAGGAGCTATGGCAGGAAACACAATTCACCCAGGATCATGATGAGTATAGATATCAAGAAGGCTTTCGATACTATAAGTTGGGATTTTCTTAGAGATATGCTTACTGGACTGGGGTTTCCTGACACCTTTACAAATTGGATCATGGTGTGCATTACATCCCCAAAATACTCTATTTCTTTAAATGGCACACTACATGGATATTTCAAAGGAGAAAGGGGTTTGAGACAAGGTGATCCTATCTCTCCCTATTTGTTTACACTGGGTATGGAGTTCCTGTCAAGAAAATTAGACATGCTTAAAGAGGATAGATCTTTTAAATTTCATCCTAGGTGTAGGGAGCTAAAAATCACTCATCTAATATTTGCGGATGATCTCCTCCTCCTTTCAAAGGGTGACATTCATTCTGTTAAGCTTCTTTACAATTGCTTCAAAGAGTTTAGTGAAGTATCAGGACTGGTAGCAAATCCAAAAAAATGTAAGATCTTTTACAGTGGTGTTGATGAACATGCCAAAGGTTTGATTAGGAATCTTCTGAACTTCACAGAGGGTACACTGCCCATAAACTACCTGGGGGTTCCTTTGATATCCAAAAGATTATCATATGCTGATTGTTCTCCTCTTTTAAACAGAATCTCTGATCAGTTACAAGCTTGTTTGAAAAACAAAGCTCTGTCTTTTGCTGGCAGATTACAAATTATTAAGAGTGCTATACTTGGCATCCAGATATATTGGACTTCAAATTATATTCTACCTGTTAGAGTATTGCAGAAGATTGATCAAATGTGCAGAAACTTTCTATGGGGCAAAACAGACCAAAAGCATAAAATTCCTCTTGTTTCTTGGGAAAAAGCCTGTTTGAGTAAAAAGCATGGGGGTCTTGGCATCTACTCTGCAACAAATTAGAATATGGCAACTATGCTGAGATTAATGTGGCATATCCATGTCAATAAGGAGAGTCTGTGGATCAAATGGATACACAATGCATACTTAAGAAATGATGATATATGGCATGTTCAGGCTAAAAACTGGGACTCATGGATATGGAAGAAAATTCTGAAAGTCAGAGATAAAGCTGTTAACTTTTGTGGAGGTGTAAATAACTTGTTGCTGCTCATCCAATCTTGCTCAGACAATTCTAGAATCTAGATTTCAGCATTGTACAATGTTCTCTCCCCTAATTCTTCAGTTGTGCCATGGCATAGAACAATTTGGGAGACTACAAACTTCCCTAGTCACTCTTTTATCTGTTGGTTAGCAATCCAAGATAGGTTACTCACTATTGACAGACTGATTAAGAGGGGATTAATGAACACTAACAATTGTTGTCTGTGTACTGGTTCTGAAAACAGAAACCATCTTTTCTTTGAGTGCTGCTATTCAAGAGAAGTGTGGCTTAAAATTATGGGTTGGCTCAGATTCAAATGGCAGTCCTGTAATTGGAATCAGCTTGTGATTTGGTACAGTGAGAGACTGAAGGGGGATGGTTTCAATCAAAGGATTAAAAGGATGGCTTTAACTACAACAATTTATAGTATATGGAGAGAGAGGAATTTCAGGATTTTCAAGCAGAAAGCAAGGTCAGCTGATCAGCTTTCTAAAGATATCAAACTTTGCATTTACTCTTTTGTTCTCAATGGATCATTCAAGGCAGAAGACAGAGAATTGATCATTTCACTATGACAGTCACTGAGGAGAGCAATTAGCAGGTTTTCAGCTGCTGTTAGTTGCTGAGATTTCTATATGGAGTGTTTTTTTTTTTTTTTGATTGAGTTCTATTTCCTTTGAACTCTTGATGTCAGTTTAGATATCTCATACATATGATGAGATTCATGATGTACATTCATTTTTACATTTGGTGATGAATAAAAATCTTTCATTTACCAAAAAAAAAAAAAAAAAACAGTAACGCAAGCTTGTATATGGAGTTTGGGTGTTAATTCTGAAACGCCATTTTGTTGTTGGGCTTCAAGACTCGATGCAGTTTATGGGCCATTGGGCTTAAGCACAACTCTACGAATTGCTCAAGTGTTACAGAACTTATCTATGCCAACGAAATCATGAACATATATAAATATAGGATAAAGGATGATATTGCGGCATATAAAGATTTAAAAAAAAATCAAACATACAAATTCTTTATGTTACGCCAGTCAAATAATTTTTTTCTGTATTGTAAAAATAATAATAAATATAAGACATTTATGAATATATTATTATACACTCACAAATAAATTCATAGTCCATACTAGAAAACTAATTATACTATCAATACAAATCATATTAAAAAAACAAAACCAATCAGCATGTATTTATACATGTTCCAGAATTCTCTCGTAAAAAAGTCACTATTGGCGATGGGTCATCAGAGATGAGAGACAAAGCATTGGCGACAGAACAATAACCCATCGCCAACGTTTGGCGTCACAACAACAGTACATCCAGAGAGAACATAATCTAAAGAGCCTTTAAGGTTCATCGCTCTTTTCTAAAAAGTAGGGTTGAAAACAAATCGAATCTGATTGATTATCTTTACATTCAAATTCAAATTGGAATTCTATTTGCGCTGTCGTCGAATCTGTGTTGAATAGGTAGAAGTGTTCAAATTCAATTTGATTAATTAAATAAATATTTGATAAATATTAATGAATACTTACTAGCACACTTGATTGAGGCATTTGGCTTTTTGGCTTGAGGTCATGGGTTTGAATCCCATGTTGATAATTTATTTGTTTTATTTTATTTTTTCATTTTGCATAACTACATGATGATGTTAGAACTCAAGAATTGATTCAAAGGAATACTGGAAGGGGTTTATTTATTGATAGCAAACGAAGGCTATATATAGCCAGTACAAAATAACTAAGAAAGTAAATAGCTAACCACATCTAACAACCCTATAATGTGGTGATACGAATCAAAACAGTAAACAAACTGATAATAACAAATAACGACTAATTAAACAAACTGATAATAACAAATAACAACTAATTCTATCATTCCCTCCCTTAAACTAATGCATCTTAGCTTTCTTCTGTAACTTCAGTCACTCCCAGCATGTTGCGAAGCTTCTCAAACTGCTCTAACTTCAATGGCTTCGTCATAATATCTGCAATTTGTTCCTGAGTGTTACAGTAGCTTAGTTTGATGACTCCATCATTCACCAGGTCTCTAAGAAAGTGAAATCGTACATCAATATGCTTGCTCTTGCCATGGAACACCGGATTCTTTGATAACTGTATGGTAGAGCTGTTATCACACATAATCATTGTACTCGTCTTCTCTTCAATTCCAAGCTTCTCCAAGATCCTTCTGAGCCAAACACACTGACAGCTACACACCGCTGCAGCTATATACTCTGCCTCCGTAGTAGAGAGAGCAACAACAGGTTGCTTCTTTGATGACCACGAAACAGCTCCAGCTCCCAACATAAATACAGATCCAGATGTACTTCTTCGATCATCCAAGTCTCCAGCATAATCACTGTCCGTAAATGCCAAAAGTTTCAAGCTGCTCATTCCCTGAAATGCAATCCTCCCTCGTGAAAACCAAAAACGCGCAGGATCTCGGACTTCAAAGCGACGCTGGTTCGGAGCAGCAAACTCTACAGATTTTGATTGAAGAATCATTAAAAAGGGCTTTAAATGAAAAATCATCAAAAAATATTGTTCCGATATTGACTAAGATATCTGTCACTTTTGGCTTGTGATGTTTAGAGAAAAGATACAAATTAACTTAGTCATCTTTGCTGTCTTAATTGTTTATAAAAAAAAGAGTGCTGCTACGGTGACCCAAAATATGGGACCAAAGGAGGGGACATGTGAGGTGTCCCCTCCAAATTACATAATGAGTGAAAAAAATAGATATACTCGTTTTGATTCACATCACCGCTTACTTTTAATGAATACTCAAGCCAAAACTGCTTGATTTTGACATGTAAAAAAGATTTGGATAATCGCTACCACCTACCGCATATGGTCCCGCTACAGTGTTGATTGCCTACGGCAATTATATTGGTTTCCTTGTATATATATAGTTATATATATATAAAGATGGATGAGGATAAAAAATACATATGCACCCAAAATGAGAAAATCATATAGTAGAGGTATCAAAAACAGAGACCACGAAGGGACCAATTAAAAAAAGTGATATTAGAACTTACTCGAATTTTGTTATTTTTTTGTGAGAAAATTATCATGTATTGATATGAACATTGTAATGACAAACATTATGTGTCTTCGTGATTATTTATAAATAAGATTTTTATTGTTAAAATTTATTTGTATAAATTATTAATTTATATATACTTGTATATGTACTCTCATAACAAAAAAAATTTGGATCCATCACTAGCACATTTGTTATCTTTATCAAAAGTAATATAAGTGTATAATATTTTTTGCCTTAAATGATCATGACTCAATTTTTATACGTTGTTGGGTGAAGCCGTGAAGGCAACACAATGTGAAAAGACAACAAGAGAAGAACATGTAACTTATGACGATAAATAATGAAAGGTGGAAGTGTTAGAACTCAAGAATTGATTCAAAGGAATACTGGAAGGGGTTTATTTATTGATAGCAAACGAAGGCTATATATAGCCAGTACAAAATAACTAAGAAACTAAATAGCTAACCACATCTAACAACCCTATAATGTGGTGATACGAATCAAAACAGTAAACAAACTGATAATAACAAATAACGACTAATTAAACAAACTGATAATAACAAATAACAACTAATTCTATCAGATGATTACTATGATTTGTCAAAGCTAAGATTATTAAATTAATATATTTATAAACGGCTAATTTACATAATTACCGATAGTAATCTTTATAATGTTATATAACATAAAAAATTAGTATAGTGCTGTATTGTAGAAGTAGAACAACATCTCATAATAGATTTTAGATCTTTATAAATTCATTTTCTAGCAAACTTGTCTTAGCAACTTAAGAATATAATTGTAATTAATTAAAATTAGAATAAGAATTTATTTTTTATAGATATTTTTTTATGATATATGTTAGCATGATGAATATCTCGAGTGCAACTTTAAAGGATAAATAGTTATGATAAATTAAATTTGGAGGAATAAAATATAAAGCATACATGAATATTAATAATTAACCAAATTGAATATACCTTTGGTTGAATTCTTTCATTTATGAGTTGAATATTAAAAATATTTGTTTACTATTAAATGAACTGTTGAATCAAATATGATAAAGAAGTCCTTGAGTTTTGCGCCTCTCTTTAAAAAACTATTTAACTTTTTTTTGGGCAATGAAACCCCTAGACTTTATTCCTCTCTTCTAAGAAGCTCTAAGTCTTTTTCGTTGGATAGAGATGCATGCCTAGAGAGGGCCTGAATGGGGTTGCTATCGCATTTCACTAAAAACATAAAATATGCAGCAGAATATATAAAATAAAATAAAAAAATAGCCAACCAAGGACATGCAAGATTTTATAGTTGTTCGAATAACAATCCTACATCCGTTCTTCCTTCTCACGAATGGGCTTCCTCATATGCCAAGAGTCTCCTGAATTACAACCCGATTCAGTTGGCTTATAAAGACCGCACCTTGAAAATGAAGACAACATCCTAGAATATATCTAAAACAATCGTCTAATCTAACTCTCCACAATAAGCAGCACCTAGCCCTAGTTAGTCCCACTAGTCCCAACCCTCAATTAACACCATCTTGAACACACCATAAAAACAAGTTTGAAATAAAACCGCCAAACATAGTTTAAGCATAGAAAATAAGAAAAATCTTACAGTTCTTTTTTATGAACAAACTATCCTTCAATGGATCAAAGTGAAGCTTGACGAAGAACAGTGTAGATGATAAAATTGAGAGCAACTCTCATCACTAAGAAGATCAAAGATATTGAACGCGAGGAGAAAGAGTTTGTTGAGGCTCAGGGGGTCAAAAAATTTCAATCCAATATCTTCTCTAATGAAAATCCTAGAACCTTCTCCTCTATTTATCTCTTTCAATTAAATGTAGTATCTAATCAACCAAGAAAGAGATATTCTGAATGTGGCAGAAGTTAGAGATCAAAAAGAATGATGATCTGCTACGGTCAAATCCTCAAATCTATAATCAGTCTACTTTACCATTGATGGTTGCTTACTATCGTTGATGGGTCCCTAAGCATCATCGATAGGTTCTATAATCCATTGATGAGCTAAAATCATATCTTTAGAATTCTTCAATTTATTCCTATTGGCCATCAGTGACCTCATAACCATCGATGAGTCCTTGACGATCATCAATGATACGAAGAATAAAATCAATATTTGTGCTGACTTTATATCATTTCGCATCATACACGTTTTATACTTGTATTTACATCTACTATATTAGCTCAAACAAATATTAATATCAAATGAAAGTTTGCTATTCCTTAAACAAGAGCTAACGTACGGACTTTGTCCTACCATTCTTGGTAGCTTAAATATTTCATATCGTAAGAAAAAAAAGATGAGAGCTTCTTAGAAAAGAGGGGTAAAAGTTAAGAGCTTATTTTCCCCAAAGAAAAGAATAAAAGAAAAAGGAAATTGAAGGCTTCATAGAAGAGAAGGGTAAAACTTAGGGGCTTCTTGTTAACAATAGAAATTTCAGGGCTTATAAAAAAGAGGAGTAAAACTTGGATGCTTTTTAGACTATGTTCTTGGTACATCGTATGAATATCCGCAAGAATTTAGCTGCTCAAAACATTAAAAAAAATGGAATACGTATCCAATCTCGATGCCTCTCTATATATATGATAGCCCTATTTTTCTGGTTAAAAAAAATTCTATGAAAAGAGAATTACTAGTGCAACGTAAGGCTGATTGATTTTACATGCTCTTAGAGCATCATGGGTGGAATTTGCGACATGCATCATGCAAATTCAAGAATTCGATAGAGTTGACATGCTCTCAATTGTCGTTGGCCGCATATGCCGTTTCAGTCCATACATGTGGAGTTGGAGGTTATTTGTAAGAAAGGCCATCAACGAGACGCTATTGGGAGTAGATGTGCATTATATATTGCTTCTGAGCGTTTGGGTTTTTTTTTTTTTTTTTTTTTTTTTTTGTGTGGAAGGAGAGAAATATAAGATTGCTTACCTCTAAGGCTCTAACTCATCCTTCGACTCTTCGCAATTTACTCTTTCGGTGTTTTGAACCTTTTATGCTTTAAAATAGCTTTACGTACGTCTCTTTTATATGCTTTGTTTTTCTTGATTGCTATACCTCTAGGCTTAGATTCTTACGAACAAAATGTCATATATAATGTACTTTATTTTTAGTCTAATCTACCTTTGTCACAAGATGAGTATTCCTCGCCTAATTATTTTTCCCATATACTAATAGATCACTTCAAGTCTTCAACTCTTATACGGGTGATCCACAAATTCATCACTCTCATCAGTTCAAAATAAAACATAAAATAACCAAACCACAGGAAAACTCATACTCAAAATTTACAAAACTGAGACACCGCACGCAAAGAAAAATAGGGGGCGGGGGGGGGGGCGGGGCGGAAGCACTTCTCAATACTCTCCAACTATTTGTCCTCGGACACCCCTCTAACGTTCTCCTATCCTTCACCCTCGTCTGGCCAGCTGATCATCAACCGGTGTTCATGCCCACGAAACTCCTCGAGTGAGCAGAAATGACACACTCTGGTGGTGCGATGATCCGGTCGATGAAGAGGCGAGAGCCTGTGGCCGCTGACGGTAATCGCCCACAGCCGAGCCCAAGCACCATCGGTGGTGCCGAGATATTTTTCGGTGGTTGCGGTGGAGATGAAGTATTCGTCAACGAAGAGATTGTGTCCGGTTTTGTTTCAGTGATCATCACGGGTTTATGATCAGTACTGCTATTGTTGGAGTTTTGAGAGTTGATGGTTGGTGTTGGTGTTGTTGCTATTGCTGTTGATAGATCTTGAGATTTTCGCCTGCGCCTGTTGTGGTCTGCAAGCCTTTTTCTGCAGCTGCGTTTTCCTTGGTCGAACTCGGCCAGGACATGGAACCTGTGTTCAGCACCGTTAAAATTAGAAATATATACCCCCATAATTTTTTTAAGGGTTAGGAGGAGAATTTTTTTAAGTAGAATCCAAATTATATATATATATATATATATTCATTCTTTGTACTAGTTTTGTTTCATTTTGTGATAAGAGTTATTAATGCTGATTTTCTAGACAGTTGTTGCACTAGCTGCCGGAATGAGATGTATACTGATTATGCCTAGTAGTATATATCTCAACTCTAGTGTCTCTTTCTATATCGCATTTCCTTGTATAAATGAAAAGATGAGAGTGAAAGAAACTCATTCATCATTCGAATGTCTAAGACAGTCCAGCCGAATTGGTAGTCAAGTTGCCGATGAGTAGTATACTAAGGTCTCAAGTTTGACTCTTTTAGAAAGCACATATATCGAAAAACTATATGTCTAATTATTTTTGTAGTTTATTTATGAGAATTAATTGTTAATTTTCTTTTTGATGGTCTTTTTTTTCCGGAATGATTAGATCTAGATAGAGTCACTCTCATTAAAATCTAGGGGATGTTAGTTAATTGGAATATTTTCACCGAGGCAATTGCTTGTCTAAGAAAATTATTTGAAAGTGACATATGTCAGTGGGATAATTGGTAGTAATTTTTTATAGCTGGATATTTTAGTGGGATAATTATTTATTTAGTTTGGAATAATTTGTGACACTTGAAGTATATACATTATGCATATTGATGATAAGACCATTATTTATATTTTTTAAAACTTATTACTATTAATAAATAATTATTTCCATGAATATTAAGTAATCTTGAATAACTATTGGTTAGACTATAAGACATTATTATAATAATAATTATTTTTTATTTTTTTGAAATTTTTATTATAATATAAATGTAAAAAACAAAGCTTTTGTGCTTTCTTTTTTTCTCTGCGTCATCTCCTAATTTCGAATAATTCTATATAATGTATGAACTTGTGATTCTTAAGTTTAAACTAAGAATGAAAATCTAATATTTGATTAAAAAGAAAATAACATATAAAAATGAGAGTAAAAACATAGTCCATATGATCTCGTCGTCTGGTTTGAAGAGAATGGAGAAAAAATGTGAAAAATAAAAAATATATATATAAGAGTTCTAGTTTATTACCACCTAGTTTTAGTCTAAAATATGCGATAATATGAGAGATTAATAGAACTCTCTCTTTTCTATACAAATATGAAAAAGTAAGAAAATTTTATACAATTATCCTTATTCTATTTTTTCCAGTTCTGTTCTAGTTGGCTACTATATATAACGTTATCTAACATGTGACCTACACCATAAACTTATTCTATTTTTTCCAGTTCCATTTCTAGTTCTAATTGACTAACACCATAAACTCTTATCTAACAAATTAATTATCCTAGTTTTAGTTGTGAATTCTCATACACTGCAGATTCAGAAAAGTTATAGGCTCATAGAAGTGGATTAAAATGTGACCTACAAAAGCAACCAGCTAGTTTGAGGTTAGTGAAAAGACAAAATAGTATTTCTTCGGCTTATTTTCATTTAGGTTCCCAATGTTTACTTCTTTCTTAACTTTGATGCCTCAACAGTATTTTCTTAACACTTAGATGCTCTAAACTTTGGATCCAGTTTCACTTTGATACGGCCCATATATTTCTTTTTAACATTTTCCTACCACAAAGTTTCAACATTTCAATTTTATACCCTTGTCCATGTTCCATTATATTTTCTATTGAATCTGTATCACGTCCATAGCATATGGTAAATTTAGATTCATTTTACCATGCACCAATACAACTTTGACATAAAAACTCCAAATTGCTTAAAAAATCCTTTGAGGGTATCATACTGTAATGTGATGGAAACATTAGGGTCAAATTTGTTAAGAAAATAATTTGGGGGTATCAAAGTGAAAAACGGTAAGCTTTGGGATCTCAGAGTGAAGGTAAGTCTATTTATTGTGAAGCACATGATATATTTTTAACATGAATAATATATTTTCTCTAGAAAAACCATGCTACATGTTACGTATAGCATATGGATACATGAATACCATATCATCATTAACTACAAAACACTTAAGGTATTTGCTTCACGTTCAATGTTAAAAAAAAAAAACTTTTTTACAACGTATCGATACCCAATCAATTTTCAATCACTTTTTAAATAACGATAACGTATAATTATTATACGCTTAATTAATTGTCATTCATTTTGTAATAGCATTTATCATATATCCAGTGATTTGTGCCAATATCCATTTCTTGTTCAAGACATTTAATAGATGTCCACAAAACAATGACAGATTCATGATTGATAAACCATTTTTAATTAAGCGGCTTATGATGTTATATATTGCACTTGGATTTGGTATTCTCAAAGGACTCTGTCCGTTGCACCAAAAGTAAACTCTGAAATTATGACTAGAAATTTAGAGTTGTAGTTTTATATTTTATATTCTAACAAGTATACAACAAATAAAGTAACCGCCATTTTGGTGTCTTTTTATGTAAACTTTGAGATACTTTCGTAACATAAATGAGCTATATATATGTATATATCGCATGCAGGTATAAATGAAGCGTACCTGCTGCACTGCTGACAGAAACGCTGCGACAACCCCGCAGCGATAACGATGGAAGCCTTGGAATGAAACTCGCAAACCTTATGACGCCGATGGTAATGCTTAGCATGAGTAAGATCAGCGCCGCATCCCTCCGCCTGGCACCTCGCCGTCCTCGTCCTCCTCCTACCACATACCCTCCCCGCGGCCGCCATCATCATCATTTCCTCCTCACGTGACCCCGACGAGAAGTACGTCCTCCCTCCAAGGTTCAGCCCTATCCTCGCTGGCGCTGGCGTCATCGCCGCAGTCGTGAGCAGCGCGGCGGCAGAAATTTGCTGTGGCTGGGGCTGCTGATGGAAGAAATCCATGCCCAGTCCGTGATCAAAATTATCAAATACTTGGTGGTGGTGGTGCTGCACTTGATCAGGGTGGCTCTGATAGCTGCCGAGCTCTTCGCCGAACAGCAGCATCGCCGCTGCTGCGGCTGCAGGGTTTCCCCATTCGTACTCCAACATGATCGGTCTACTGATGTTACGATCGATGGGATCTTTTTGGTCGAGGTTTAATTATGAGTCCGTTCAAGCTTTTATATATATAAGCACAGATTTTTACAGTGAAATAACTAACGAGAATGGATAGTAACAATTGAAAGTAAACTGAGAGGGGATGATATCTGCTAGGATCAGTGGGCCCACAGAATGCTGTGACTCTGACGTTAGGAAGCTTGTCTGCAGCTTCCTTGCACCATGTTACGGACTACGTCCGTAGGAAGAATTTTGTGGGGCATAAGTTAACAATGCCCGGGACAATCCACGATGAGCATATTATTAAGGGTTCAGTAGTTTGTTTTACCCCAGGGTTGTTTCTGGGAAAATACCTCAATGAAAATATTTAACTGGAACGTGCACAATTTGATCAAAATCAAGTTAGGTTTTCTTGCAAATTTGATCAACTCAAGTAGGGTGGAGTTCATTTGATTCACATCGGAGGTTTTATAATATATATGATTTTTTTTTCTGGGAACCACCTTTAAAATAGAGTTAGTCTATAGATATCATATTTGATTACCAATTTATACGTAAACCATATATGTAAATCACATTTAAACTATTTCTCCATTGCAATCAATCACGTAGACTCACTTTAAGTCAATTTTCTTTGTCTTTGCTGTAATATTTTTCTTTAGAGACGACTTCGCTGTAATACTTAGTTGTTAAATATCAAGTATTAGAGAGATGATGAGAGAGAGAGAGAGGAGAGAGAGAGAGAGAGAGAAGGATATGATTTTAATAGATGTTCGATGTATCAAATTGCCAAAAAAGTTTTTAGGGTTTTTTCATGGAAACGACCTAATAAATGATGTGATTTTGTAGGAACTACCTATGATTTTTTATGTATACCAAAACCACTTAAAAAGTACATTTTCACTTTAATCAACCACCAACATCTAATTTCTATTGACTTTTTGACCAATCTTCCATTAATACCCTCAATGATTGGTGGGAAAAACATGCGTGACGCATCATCCTGTTAAAGGTATTAATGAAAATACGGACAAAAAGTTAACAGAAATTGGGCGAAGGTGACTAATTGAAGGGAAACATATTTTTTAGATGATTATAATATAAATTAAGAATTATAAGAGGTTCTTATATAATCACTCTATTTATTAGATGGTTTCAGGGAGGAAAACCACTTTTAATTAAGTAACAGCTCATTCTCACGCCCTCGTTGTGGCTGCTGTTTATGCGTTTAACTACCTCAGTGATAGAGACAGTCGCTTTCGTGCGTGCGGAGAGTGGTAATTTCGAAATTACTGGAGTCTTGGAAGGGTATATAACGGACGGGGATGTGGACAGGGAAGGGGAGGATCCAGAGGGACTCGCTGTCAATATCCGTACCAACGTGTTATCATCTGTATCCTTTGAGTGGTGTTTTATAACTGGTATTTTTTGTCTTATTTACGCAGTTATTATTTTATTTGCATTATTAATGTTTATCTTTTTTCCATTGGTAGATGAGGAGGGGGGAGACAGAGTATTAGTTGCTCTGAAACTTCCATATCGAATAAAACCAATGGGAGTAACTGACGTGTTCACTAGGCTGTTAAAGGGTGTTATAGAGTTGGCTTGCGCGTGAGAGTGTAAGCAGTGCTCACTGTAGAATTTTGCTAATACCATACAGCAAGACTATTCCAATGTGCAATTTTTCCCCCTTGTGAGAAAACAACAAGGGCGGAAGGGAAGGAAGGTTATAACACTGCGTGAAAATAATGAATCTTAAAATTCAACAAGATAGTCTTTTTAATCTACAAAAAAAAAATTTCTAATCTACAAAGAACATCAAATCCACGAAGAGAATATAATAAAGAGGAATTTTATTGATGAAAAGTTAAAATTCTCCTTAAAAGACTCTCTATGATTGAGGAAATAAATCAACTAAATTTAGATTCGAATCTTTAATCAAAATAGGCTCCTAAAACATTACTCAACATAATAAAAAACTGATAAAAACTCAAATATCTCTTAATTCGTAGGGAATTTCACGAAATAGACGGCAGCAAACTAAACAACAATCAGTTTGCTTGACTTCGGCTTGAAAAAACACCCTATTTATATATAATTTGTTGAACTTCGCCATATGGTTTTGGGAGATATGACACTTTTTTCATTGCAAGTCATTTTCCTCTACTGGGCTAGGCTTTTGACAATCCAGGTTCTCCATATATGGAACATATCTGTAGTGGTCTTTCCACTTTGAAAAGAGCTTGGCCTCGAGATTATACTCATATGAAAAGTTGTTTCTTTTGGCGTGTAATATTCAAACAGATACGCAACATTGAAACTAGGGGAAGTTGCTAAGTCTTTCAAGAAGGTTGATGATATAAGCATTATCCCTAATCTTCTTCAGTATTTTACATTGGTCATGCTTTTGTTCTTCAACTTGTTGGAGTTTTCTATCGGAAAGCGCTCTTTTCACAGAAACACCATCACCATGTCTTCTTCCTCAAGTACATTCTTCCTCCTGTGTTAATCAGCATTCACCTTATATTTAATATTAGATTTCTCTATCTGCTCTTTCACTTTCTGTTGAATAGCTTGTATCTTTTTAGCAATATGATCTGCACTAATATTTTGTCCCGAAAGTTTAGACATTGGAACCAGATAATGATCATGGTTCAGAAGCCTCCCATACACAATCACAAAGGGAGTTATATCTATAGTTCGACTCTCTATACAGTTATAAATAAATTCAGCATGTGCCAGAGCAATATCCTACTGCTTTGGATGATTGTTAGAGATGGATCTGAGAAGGTTATCGAGAGTGTGATTTACCACTTCAGTTTGTCAATCTGTTTGAGGATGATAAGTAATATTGAATTTGAATTAAGTTTCTACCACAATGTCCTCCACAAGCGCAATAAGAACTTGGAGTCACAATAAGTAATGATGGATTTTGGCACTCCATGAAGGTGTACTATCCCTTGAAAGAAAATATTGGCAATGTTGCTAGCATATGCTGTCTTCTTGCATGGAATAAAGTGTCCCATCTTTTAAAATCTATCAACCACAATAAAAAAATCTATACATCATTGGGTCCTAGGGAGTCCCAATAAAAAGTCTATTGAGATATCATGCCACTGTAGGGTCCCGAAAAAGGTCAAAACGATTGGTCCTCTTAACTGTTTTAGTTCTAAAAAAAGATTCTATCGCCTGATAAGAATCTCATTACAATCGCTCTTTCTCAAGTACAGAAGAGGAGAATGTTGATTTTGTTGGCCTCTTTGTTTTGATGATGTTTAACAAATAATTTACCACTAATATTGTTTGTCTAGTATTCGTGTTTTCTTATTTATTGTAGACAAACAATATGTTAGAGGTTGGATGAATTGTGCCATAACGATCATATCAAATGGAGGTTGGTGGAATTGTGGAGTGAAGCCTATGCAATTCAAAGTTAAAGATTTAAGTTCAAGCTTTATCCGCAAGTGTACCAAGTTGAGCTACATCGAAGATCAAGATCTAGCTTGGGTAATTTAATTTAGGTTTTATATTATGTGTATCAAGTACTCTAAGCTCAATATAATATGCACACACTTTTTATTGGTTTCTTATGATTTCATCAATATCAATTTTATTTAGTTCAATGAAATCATGTTTTAGTGCATTATATGTGTATTTTGATAAAATACTATTTATAGACTTCATAACAATAGTTTACATCTTTCTTCAGGTTTATAAAATCATTTTGTATTGTTTTAAAACATGGTTAAGCTAAAATGTCAAAACTCATATGTTCACATTTTCATGTTTTGGATTATTTTGTAAAATGATGATATTTTTCATTTGGGATGTCCTTTTTGAAAACCAGTTTTTATAGCATGTGTATTATCATGTCTATAATCATTTTCTAAAGTTTTATATTTTTATGAATTTATTTGATATTTTTAAACAGGGTTTTAAAATCAGAAAATCAACTTTCAAACATGTATTTCATATGTTAGTTTGCGGTCGACCGCCACGGTCGACTGCACCCATGTTTTTCCCTCAGAAGCCAGCAGAAACTTTCGCGATCGACCGTGACGGTCGACCGTCAGTCTGTAAGTTTTCACGGTCGACTGTCACGGTCGACCTTAGCCTTTTCTGTTGGTTTCTCAGCTTCAAAAATCTCTCACGGTCGACCACGAAAATCTCACGGTCGACCACCGATTGTTCAACGGCTATATTGGGTACAGAATCAAAATTCAAATCTGTGGGATTATCTACTGATATGTTTGGGGTTTTTGTTGCTGTTTTCTCTTCCTATATAAACCCCTCAAACCCTCTTCTACCAGTAACAACAAGAGAGTGTTTTTAAAATAAGTTTAAAGAGTTTTAAACAAGGGTTTAAGTTTGTTTAAGAAGCTTTTAAGCATTTGGAAATTTGAGTTTGTAAAATCAATTTCACAAGAGCTTGAGGAGATCATCTATTGGTGTTTGGGCATCCAACTATTCTCCCTCTACCTCTTGATCTATTGATAAATTTTCTAAACACTATTTCTAGCTTTACATCTATTTATTTGATTATCATTTTATTAAAGCTAGTTTTATATTGAGTTTAGTTGATTTGATTTCACTCATCTTTTACACGCACCCACTTGAGCTTATTGTATTTACATACATTGTATATTTGGGTTGGTGAGAGTTGTAACAATTGAGTATGAGCTTTCATTGTGTTCTCATCCATATTAGAGAACAATCATTTGTTGTAATTGTGCTTATCATGAGAATCACTTTGTAATGCACTTGTACACCGAGAAAAGTGTGTGACGAGAGTCGGGGATCGTCCCAAGAGGAGTGGCATCGGTTGACGAACCTAGGGAGAGGTTGTATCCGAGCACTTGAGGGAGACACGTCTAGTTCCAACACTTGAGAGGGCGTAGATTGGGATTACAAGAGTGTGTTAGTTGTAGAGTTTTCAATAAACTAGAAAACTGTATTGTGTGGTGTAAACGTTATTCAGGTGAGCATAGAAAATTCGGTTGTGATAGTGGAGATCTCCTCGAGATGAG